AAGACTGCATGGCGATGTGTGAAAGACTGAGCTGAAACGCCAATGCGGCCGATCGTTGACAATCGTTCTTATGCATTAAATACACCAATGAATCCATGGGCAGAATCACTTGGTTTCAGTGAATTTACATGATATAATTTGTAGTAGAAAAGTAAAGCTGTGTAATTATCCAGATGAAAATGAGTGACTTTTATTAAAAAAGACCTATTCATTGTACAATGTGTAGGTTTGTTTTTATGTTTTGCTTATGATCTCCCTTTAAAATTCCCGCCCTAATTAATATTCATGATTGAATGAATAAATTAGGCCACCTCCATATAAAGACCACCTGTTTATAAAGGACAGTTTGGCTCAGTCCACTGACTGTCCTTTATAGACAGGTTTGACTGTAATGTGTGATGTATGAGTGAAGTTTGAACCTAATCGGTCCATGCATGTTCGAGATACAGGTGATCACGGACGCACACACGCAAGCACAAACGCACACAGGGCAAAACATAAGTCCCCGTTTTTGGACTACGTCCGAACGGGGACTAAAAAATTTAAGATTTATGACAAAATAACACATTACCGATGTCAAATATTTGTTGATTGACCCACCTTCTTAGCGACAATATATGACGGCACAATTTCAATGTTTTGTTCTTCAAAATACTGCTTGCACTGGAGCGTTACAAAATCTCCTGCAAGAGGACTTTTCACAGAAGCTGTCAGAGAGAAGAGAATAACTGTCATTACCTTAAAAGTTAACTAGGATGCAGTTACTAGTACCATAATATGTGTTCTCTCAGTATAGTGTGATAACCAATTATTGCCTGCCTGCTTTATGTTCACTACCATGCTTGCTTATTAGAAATCCACATAAATTAACTGTATTTATTGTAATTAAAATACTGTAAATTTAATAAAATTAAATCCACAACTGTGATAAAAATTTACATAGTCCCATGCATAAAATTTGCATATTAATTGTGTAATTAACAGAAATTGTGATGATTAACATACTCAAACACACAACACACAACACACAAAATTATTCATTTGAAATAAATGTTCTTGCATCAAGATTGATAATAGTCCACACAAGTTTTCAGCAATTCAGTTTGAAAATTCAGCAATGGCAAAGGGGAAATACACGAAAGTGGCAGTCAGGAAAATAATGACTGTGATGACCAGAGTGGTGGTAAATCAAAGCACTGTGGCGATACTGTCTTGCTGTTTGTATCCCGAGAAAACTGAAATACGAAATATACCTGACTTTTCTACTGTATTAGAATTGCATCTTTAATGGAATATAAACCAAAAATGTCATTTGTTGCATAGTGAATTATTTAAATATTACCTTATTTTCCCCATAAAACACTTAATTTTCTCTCACCTGATGCAAGTGCATACCCATCATGCACTGGGACTGCAGTGGTGTGGGTTGCGCCGCTGTCAACAACTAAAGCAGTGGAACGACCATTAGCAAAACTCCCAACATTAAGGAATGATATAAAATCATAATTACTGGTATATATCTATCAATATCCATGTGGACCAGGGAATGAATGCAACATGGCAATATTCCTAGGAGCATTGCCAGCTGTGTTTATTTTGACTTCAGCACTCTGAATTCAGCTCTTGGACACAAATAACTCGCCATTTAGAGAGGCTAAGTCTATCTGACAGGCTCTCTCTGATGATTTTAGGTGATATTTTTCATAATAGCGGGAATCATTTGTTAATTTTTTACAGGCCCCCCCTCACATTATGAAATAGAGACTACACAACACTTAGTTTTCATCTCGTTTTACATGACACAACTTTTGCGTAAGATCACTTTGCCCATGCAATTGTGTCCAATTTTGTCAAAATCAAAGTTATTGCCCCATTAATTCACAATATTGCAAGCACAAACTCAAAATATTGATGTGTTTATAGTCCAACCTTTGTAATGATCTTATAAACAATATAGAAAGGATACGCTGATAAAACTGCATTTTTACAAAGAAAGAAGGCTGGTATATTATACTGCTCAAACATCAATTCTGTTAACTTTTCCCTTTTGCCTCTGACATTCCACTGGAAATGAAAAAAAAAAAATACTGAAAAGCCATGTACAATGCAATACTCTGTATTCAAAAAGTGACATGGTTGAATATATTTTTAAGAGGCAAGTAAGCAAAAGATGCTGCAAAGTTGTTATTATACATATCAAATTTAACGCATGTCAATGTACATTATGATGACACATGTAGAGTTAAATTACAGCTTATGCCACACTAAAGTCAAATCAATTTCACTTACAGGGGGTTCTGACATTAGTACAGGATGTAGCGGTGATTCTGATCTGATGTGTTTTTTATAGGTATGATCTAACAGAGCTTGGAACATATCCCAGTCTTCAACTGAAAGAAACCAAATTAATGACACAATCATTAGTGAAAGCAACACAGAGAGTTTCTTATAGAAATAAATGTAACAGCCTGCCATGGTCGGCACAAGTGAATCTACTCTAGGTCAAATTTACTTGTTCGCATCAGAAGAAATCTGTCAGAAAGGCACCATAATTCACAATAACAATGATTAGAAGCTTTGATATGGGTCCCATGCAACATATACAACACTTGTATATACATTACTACATGTAATTACTGAAAATCTGAACATGCATTGTACAATGATTGGTGGGCTGGTCAATTTACTAATTACCTTTCAAAGATTCAAAAGTACAGGTATATATTCAATATAATATGAGGTTATTACAAGGATACCTCAGAGTATGCACGAAGACGGTACAGTGGGTGTATCAACTGACGCTCAGCGTCTGCGTGCATACTTTGAGGTATTCTTGTAAAAACCGTATTATTATACATATTTTCCTTTCAAGGATACATCATGGGAATGCCGAAATCCAAAAAGTTTAGAACAGAATCAGCGAACTTCTTTGTGTGGAGTCCGGTCAAACCCTGGTGGCTGCCATTATTAGAGGACGCTTACGTGCGTAATCATTCTATATTTGGAATTCGCATTTCCTTATATGGTAGGATGAAAATACCTAGTAAAATACCGTAAAATTTTGACACGCTGTAGCGTATAGCATTATGGTGACAGATGTATAATAATACAAATCATTTAATTTATTATATTATCAACAGTGTACTACTAAATAAAGTAGTACTTGGTACAAAACAGAATTCTGTACATACTCATGCCATCTCTAAGAGGAGATGCCATTTCCATTCCGTCTCTTGGTACATGAACAGCATTTGTATCAATGTAATATTTCTTTCCACTTCTGTCTTTGTTAGTTTGATCTCCGCTGCCATCTACCTCCATGGACTCTTCTTTTGGTTCATCTTTAAAACCAACGTGCATGGGTATCTCAGCCTGAAAAGTGACAAAGTGGCAATTTACACATCCCCTTGTTGAACACTTTTCACAGAATACAGGATGTACATGTATAGTGTACAATAGTTGTCATGGTAACAATAATAGTATATACAAAGTCCTACTGTGATAGTCTAGAGGGAAAATGCATTCTTGATAATTCAAAAATATGACATTCTTCACAATAAAAAGTCTACACACTGGAAAGCACTGGTTAATATACCTTAGGACAGTCTTCCCCGGCATAGCCGCCACGGAGTGATGTAGAACCAACATCAAAGACCAAGGCACCAACCTCATCTGTAATACAAAAAGAAATCATATACTGCATCAACTGTATTCTTTTTACCTCCATATGTACTGTGCTCATTTCTGCCATTTTACCCCAATCTTACTGCCTCAAAGAGACTACCTGCACATCCTAATTAAAGTGCATACATGTAGTAATAATTTCTGTGAATAATTATGTAAATATATTTGTATGCATAGATTTTTAAGAAAAAAATGACAAAAGTGGTCAAACTTTATTGTCAGATAACTTAAAATTACCCAGTGAATTGTTTGGGTGAAAAAGACTAGAACTTTTTTTTACTGTTTTGTAAGAATCAGAAAAATGTGTTTGTAAATTTCATAAATATATTTTTCTAATGTTTGATGATAATTCAACATAGCTGCTTCCTATACTAATAGTAAATATGGGTTAGAAGTTTCATTTATTGATCAAAAATTAATACGCCATCTGACTATAACATCCATGCACATGTACAGTGGAGATACATGTGCTGGACATTTTTCAAAATTCAATCAGAAAATGAAAGTTTACGCTACTTATTTGTGTTTCGTTTTTTGAAAGGTTGAAAAAAAACATTATGATCGCTACTTGGCGGGTATTGTAAATGACTGATGCAATATACTGTTTTATCAACACACAGTGGAAGTCGCATCACATTCGACGAAGTCATAGGACTTCATTCACGAGACCTCGTATGATAGTGTACCACTTGCACACGGCAGTAATTTTGTTTTATCTTCATGATCCTGTGAATGAATCGGGATCGTTAACTCGGACAGTGGAGGGAGGTGCATGTTAACTAAGATTTGACAAAGGTATAAATAAGCGGTTTGTAATTTGGAAAAGGACAGCAGCTAGGCTTGTCACTTCATTCCACTGCTGCTTCCGTGTTTTCAAAACAAAGCGCCACCATTGAATGGCGAATACCGGTAACACTAACAATCTACAATCGGCCTGCGATCACGATCAACAAACGTCAAGGTAAAAAGAACGAAGTTACTTGAGCGTATTAGTATAGCACGATTCTTTCATAATGTAGTCGACATACCTCCTCCATAGACTCCGCCACTCATTTTCGACACGCTGTGCTTTTCTTTAAAATAGTGAAATCAACAAAGAAGAAAGCATGACCCAAACTGTCGTGCAATGGCGGCTCCCATCATGCATTGCGATGGCTTGCATTTCCGGGTTAAAGGTAACTGCTTGCGCACTGGCATGTTTTGGTTGTAGCTGTGGTTTAACGTTATTTACAGGTATTGTCTACAACGTATGAAGCCATAATTACTTACATAGTACGTATAGCTATCACAGTCAAAATGTTTCTTTTTTCGCAGAGTGAAGATCGATATATGCTAAATATACGACGTCCTTAATCTCAGGAATGACCCAATTTAAAAACTAGGGGAGGGAATTGAGACAAGGTTGTTTTCACATCAACATCACAGGGTGTTCTAACGTTTCTAAGTCAGTATTACCAGAGCGACGTACTCGTAACATCTGCAAGCACCTACGGTACTCGCTGTAAGGGCTTGCAGATGTTACGTCGCTCGGTGTACTGACTTAGAAACGTTACAACACCATGTGATCCGCATGATGACAAATATTGTCTTCTTACCTCCCCATTACTTTACATTATACAGTCATTGTGCAAGTTATTTTTAGTCCCCGTTCGGACGCAGTCCGAAAACGGGGACTTATGTTTTGCCCTGTGTGCGTCCGTCCGTCCGTCCGTCCGTCCGTCCGTGCGTCCGTGATCACCTGTATCTCGAACATGCATGGACCGATTAAGTTCAAACTTCACTCATACATCACACATTATATGGGACATATGCACATGCATTTTTTTCATGATTCGATTAACGATAGCCGAATAGCGGCCATTTTAAGGCCGAAAATGCATCAAAATCGCACATTTTCACCATTCCGGACCCGGATCTCAGTTATGCATGGACGGATTTTGTTCAAATTTGGTACATACATTAAACATAATAGGACCTTGATGCACGTCATTTTTTTTT